TGGTCCGTCGGAGTAGCCGCGCCATCATCGATCCAACGCTTCTGAATCTTCATCACGCTGTACACGCTCGACATCATCACTATGGAAAGCGTTCCCGCTACCGTCTTTACCACCACCGGGCCGCGTCCACGCTTGATCCGATCCAAAATCATCAGCGTGAGCTTCCTAAACGGAGTCTTGAATGATAATACCATGATCACCGCCATCTCCGAGAATATCACCACGAACAGTAAGTTGATCATTTTTAAAAATTTTCCTTTTCTTTGAGGACCTCAGAGGAAGTTGGTTTCTTTCTAGTTATTGAAGGGTGGAAGCTAATACTTTGAATCTGTGAGCTTAGCCAACGAGGAAGAATGATAAAAGAGAGGAAACGGAGTTGAATCCGCGTTCGTAACGCGCAACTTTTTGTCTTCAAGATTTGGGGTTATTTTATTATAGGTCCTTTACGTTTAATAATTTTTTATTGGTTTCATTGTTTGACTTATATATCAAATTGGTCCCTCCAATCTTATCCAAAGATCAAGGATCAAAATCAGAGATGGGTATGGAGCTCACATCCGACTATTTTCGGACAACGATGATCTTATAGAGTCATGTTTTTTTCTTTTCTTTTTTCAAATGAATTCGAGCTGAATTTTTTAGGATAAGATCAAATTTGAATAAAGATAAAAAATCTTTAATCCCAGATAATAATATAATTATATTATATATCTTTAGGATTAATTATAATAACACCCTTGTATATTTTCAGTTAAATTTATATATATAATATATTGATCGGGTCATATCAAATCAAATCTCTCAAAACTCAAATTAAATCGAGTGACAGATTAAGAGGTATGATATTCATACGATCAAATTTTGAGTTGATCAAATCCATACATATCCCTAATTAAAACTCTAATATAAAAAAATTATATCAAATAAACTACTCCATACTTTCATAATTTGTGTCTTATATTGATTATGCACATAATTTTAAGAGATATATTTAACCAAGGTAAACGCAAAACTATTCATAGAAAGTAATTGATAGATTTATTTTGATAGGAGTAAAAGAGTGAGACATATAAAGGTAAAAAAGAAAATATAAGTGTTGATGTTGGTTGATTTTTTAATAAAACACTTTGAATAGGAAAATTTTAAAAATTAAAAAAAACACATTTAGTAATTTAAAATAATATTAAAGTTAGATACAATAAAAAGGATCAATATAATATATATATATATATATTTGGAATCGGAGACTTTTCACTTTATCTTCTTACTTAAAAGGCTGAAAGTGAGCTTTTATCTCTCTCTTTTTTTTTTAATTTAAAAATAATACATAAAAGCAACTGAAAAAGATGGGGAAAAAGCCAAGTCTTGAAGATAAAGCAAGCTCTCATGTATTATCCCTCAACCTCAAGCAGTAATTATGAGCTTCATTAAAGTAATAATAATAATATTTAAAATTATAACATAGTTAATAATTACAAATTACAGAATTATTTAATAATTAAACAAACTCAATTATTAAAATATTAACTGAATTTTAATAATTAGAATACATCTGGACAATGAAATATAATAAATTATTAGTTTTTCCTTTTTTAATAAGAAACTTGACCCAACTTTTTAATAAAAAGAGACATTAGTCATAACTACTTCCAACTTCCAAGTTTAAAAACTCCATTATTGGATTGATCCACATTAAATAGAAGAAGAGAGGTAGGCATCATGAATGACGAGCCATGAAATTTGGGTTGCATAGATGGAGTGGTTGAAGGAAGCATAATAATAGTCCGTCAATATGTGTTGGTCTTGCCAATTAATTAGTTAGAAATTTAATGTTAATCATCGAGGATGGAGTTACGATTAAATATTAAAGAGGTAAATTGTTCAAACTTAAAATAATAAAAATTTATTATGTATTTGATTAAATAAATGAGGGAATAAAATTTTAATTTTAATTAGTATGATCAATAACATTGTTAATCGATTTCCGTTAATTTTGAATACGTATAATCAATTGAACACTAATCTATAGATTAAACCTTTGAATTTGAAAAGCCCACACATTCAAATTAATGAAAACTCATAAACAATGCTATCTATTATACTTTAATTTTAAAATTATATAACTGGGTCTTTGTTGATTGACTACATCACCAATTTTAATATTGGTTGCCGACCGTCGGTATTATTTATTGTCTTTTTATTTTCTTATATTGCATCTTTATTTTCTTTTGTTTTATAATTTTTAATAATATAATTTTTAATAAGTCTGACTGTATAATACGTTTTCATATACTTTTATGACACGTTTTCTTCTGTCTTTTAACTGTTGTTTTTGATTATCTTTTTCTATGGGTTGATTTGGCATCGCCACAACTGATCAAGATGACTCTTTTCTGTTATATTGTTGATATTTTATGTTTTAGATTATCGAATTGGATTTGGATACCAGTTATGCGTTCATGGATAGCTTTTCATGTCGTTCAAGTCTGATTTACGATTTTTCGGTGGTCTTTCAGTAGCTTGATTCTATTTTGTGGTTCATTTTTCGATGCAATCAGCTCTGTTTGTATCTATCTTTGTTCGAGTTTTCTTGGTTAGATTTTAATATTTACTCGTATGATCCTTATGTGATCTTAATTTGTTAGTTTTGTTTCAATGATTATATGAGATTATCTTAATTATGTGCTTAATTTACGATTGTGATGATAAATCTTTATTGTAATTTAGGATATTTATTATTTTGAATAAAATTAATGATTTCTATAAAAATATATAAAAATGGATGAACTAAATTCTGTTTAATCAAATTAATAATAGATTTTTAACGTGGTCCTAATCTGAAAAATTTAAGGACTGATGTTAAAATTAAACCATGATATTTATTATCAGTGAACACTAATACATTTCATATTTGCTTGAGATCTCTATCTAAGCCTAGTAGAAGAGTCAAAGATGAATGCCAACTCTTGATAATGAAATTGTCGACATGCCTTTGCTACCTATACGCGTTGCCGAACTATTTATTATTTAACACTTGGACCTCCTCCAAACCTTATATTAACAAAATTAACTGATTAAATTTTCTTATAATTATTTTTATGACTAGAAGTCAGATGAGGCTTCAACGTGATTTGCCATTAACCATGGCCACATATATATACATGCATGAAAGAGTTAGTCTAACTTATTTGGAACTATCACTATTAGATTCATTGATTGATGGATTAAATAAGATCAAGTATTGCTCATATAGTTCTGATTTTAAAATTTTTGAGATCATTTTTTAGTTTAAATAATTTTGGATTCGAGTCATTTAGATTTGTTATTCAAAATTTCAAGTCATTCAGACTATTTGAATTATTTATATTAAACTTATCGAGTTGATTTTTATGATAAAATAAAATTTAAACTCGAATTGAGATCAAAACCTACATATGATCTACCATCCCTACAATTAAATTCCAACTTGTTTCGTTCTTTATAATTCCCTAACATGAATATAAATTAATAAGATTTATTAAAAAGTAATGTAGGTATAATACAGTGAAAGTGTGCCCATGCATGCAAGGGTAACCGAAGCACTTTTCAATGAAACATTCACAAACGAGAGAAATTTGATCCGATTGGAAAGTAACTCGTCAGAATGGGAGGGCTTTTTCTAGCCTTATTTTCCTTTGATTTTCCGTCACTACAGGCTTTAACCCCGGTCGACAATCGTGGGGTATCATCTCCCTCGGAAGCTACCTTGTTAGAAGAAGAGAAACAAGTGAGAAAACTTGTGAAGAGAGCCATGAGAAATTAGGGCTTTAGATTGCAGGAATCTGAGAGGATCGATCCTTTGCTTGTGTAAGAGAAAAGTAGTGGGGTTTTTTTTGGCTATGTTGATGGAGATCATTTTGTTAGTGGTGATCTGTATATATAAGCAGGGTGTGAGGAAGAAGACAGGAAGCAGGCAAAGTGGAGATGCACGGATCCTGGACTGATGCAGTTGCTTTCAGGTTTTATTTTTCCCGATGCCTTCTTGGAAACAAGCTGCGGGGATATAATTCGTGGTCCTCAAGGCAAGAAAGGGTTAAGTTAAATTCGGCAGCCTAAATCATGTAATATAATTTAACAAATTCTTCAATTACAGTCCCACGCGTATGATTTTTTTATCGTTTATAATATGGATATATAAGTAAATAACAGTAAAATGATAATAGAAAAAATTACAAACAAATAAAACTGAACTTTATAGTAAATCCAGTTCGATCTCGATACCTATGAACGTTGTCAATGTTGTTATAATTTCACATCATTATTTTTCAGATCTAATTCGATCTGAAGGCGGATTGGGGTTTAAAAATCTTACTTGTTAAAATAGGGCTTGCTTTATTCCGTTGTTGCGAATGCTCTTGAAGAAGGGTACTTGTGGGTAGCATGGATTAGAGCATATGTTGCAAAGGGAAGGGGGGAGACATTTGGAGCTTTGAGCCTAAAAGTACATCAGATCAGGGTTTTAAATCGCGATTGCGGTCACATTTTCGGTTATTACGGATTTTCCGTGATTGCGGCCGTCGCGGGTAACTCGGACAGCGGCGAAACCACTATATCACGGACGAAATCACGATCGCGGACCGTTTTTTTAAACCCTGCATCAGATTCTTTGGGGGTAATGATGCTTAATTTTGTAACTCCTATATAATTTTCAGACATAATAAACTTTTTTCCCTCTGCTTGTTATTTTTTTTCGCCTAAAATTTCCAAGTAAAATTTGTGCTCATTCTATTCATTGTTTGATTTTTTTTATCATTATCCTATTCAATTTCGTAACATAATTTATAAAGAAAAAAATATTAACAAACTTGAAATTTTTTTAACGACTCCTTCAAATATAAATCAATTATATGGTACAAAAGGAATTTCAATTAATTACACAATAACAACCTGCTCAAATTCCAACAATTGTTTCCTTCCCCATAATTCCCCAAGATGAAAAAAAAATTAATAAAAATTACTACAAAAGAGAGAAAAATATAGAGAGAATACACGCAGACGTGCATGCAAGGGCAACCGAAGCATATTTCAGTAATACATTCACAAACGAGAGAAATTTGATCCGACAGGGAAGTAACTCATAGGAATGGGAGGGCTTTTCTTAGCCTTGCTTTCCTTTGATTTTCCGTCACTACCGGCTTTAACTCCGGTCAATGATCGTGGACTGTCGTCTCCCTTGGAAGCTACCTTGATAGAACCGGAGAAACAAGTGAGAAAGATCGTAAAGAGAGTCATGGGAAAATAGGGTTTAGCTTGCAGGAATCTGAGAGGATCGGTCCTTCGCTTGTGCAAGAGAAAAGTAGTGGGTTTTTTTTTGCTATGTTGATGGAAATCATTTTGTTGGTGGTCTCTTATATATAAGCAGAGTGGTGGTTGCGAGGAACGAGAGAAATTCATGAATGCTGGACTGATGAAGTAGCTTTCAGGTTTGGCCTTTTGCTTTGGTGCTTTCCAGGCAAGAATGCTGTGGGGGTTTTTGATACGTGGTCAACAAGTTAACTTGAAAAATTCAAACACAGATATATATTATACTTTGACCATTTGTCATCTTCGTAGTTAAGTTAGCAGCCTTGAATCATTGCAAAATTCAATAGCCACGTATTTTTTTTATTGTAGCATCCCCAAGAAAGCCAACGGAGAAAAACTAAGAGAAAAGACTGATTCAAAAATTTAATGATCATTTTATGATTTGAAATTTAGTGATCAAATCGATCATTTTAATATAGTTCAGTCACTATGTATTTTACCCAAAAAATTGACATTAACACCTCAACGGAGGCAAGTAGCGGTGTTAACCGCGTTATCAATTTACACCTGCTATTACTAATAATAGGCCTGTAAATGAACTGAACGTTCAACGAACCGTTCATGAACCGTGCGGTGGGAAGTTCGTTTTTGTGCGTTTATTTATTAAATGAACGAACATGAACAAGATTTTGTGTTCGTTTAATTAAATGAACGAACATGAACATAGGTCTCGTTCGTTCATTTATGTTCGTGAACGTTCGGTTATGTTCGTTCGGTTATGTTCGTTTATGTTCGTTTATGTTCATTCATTTATGTTTAACCCAATATTCTTAAATCAATTTTGGTGACCAATTTGTAAGTATCTTAAAAATATGAATTAATCTGATATTCTGATGATCAATTTATGTTCCTATATTCATTTTCCCCCTTTTTTCCCAAACCCTAGTGTTCACTGGAGAGTAGAGACGATCGCTGGAAGCTTCAAAACAAGTTATATTATAGTGCAATCTGAAGTTTTACAGGTCTATTTTCATCTCTTTCTTTGTTTTATTTGGCTTAATAGTTAATATGTAAAGTTATTGTAGGTATCTTCACATCTAAAACTCAAGAAAATATCATACTTCTTTCTAGAAATAGATGGGAAGATAAATGTAATAATCGGAAGTATATGAGCACCAGTAAAGAGAAAAATATATAGAATTTGTCATAAAACAAAACAAAGGTTTCTATGCAATTTTCTGAAAAAGAGTGTAATAGCGAAAGTAATGGGTTTTCCAGGAAGAACCCATTAATAAGTAGAAAATATATTTTGACAATGAACTTTTGTTTTCATAGTTTTTGTGTGACCTTTAGTTGTGGAGTAGACTTTAGGTATGTTAACATTTTGAATGGTGGTTTAACAATAATATCAGTTACAATATGTAGCATCGAAGGGATTTCGGATCTATGTTATTGCCTTGTAGTCCAATTTGTATCGTTCGAAATTTTTTATGCTGTTAAATTTTCTACTCTGCCAACGGAAATGACCATTATTAACAAATCTCACTAAAGTCTGACATTGATGTCACAAAACTTTTAGCCAGCGAATTTAATAAAATAACATAGTGGAAAATGATTGTTCATATGTAATCATGGACCACTAAGATAAATGTTATAGCGTTAAATTAAAGTCGTGTGAATCATTTAATATCTTTAAAAGATCGATCGAAATATTTTATATCTTCAAACATTTCATCACTGCTAATCAGCTCTTACGCTATTTATCACTGTAGATTTGGTTGATTTGCATTGTCGACTATTTTTCATGAAAGAACAATGGAATGTAGGGTCTCCAACGTTTATGTTCGTTTATATTCGTGTTCATTTATGTTCGTGTTCGTTTATGTTCGTTTATTTATTAAATGAACGAACATGAACAAGTTATATTCCTTAATAAACGAACATGAACAAAAAAAAATTTGTTCGTTTATGTTCGTGTTCGTCGTTTATTTATTAAATGAACGAACATGAACATACCTCCGTTCGTGTGCGTTCGGTTCGTTTACAGGCCTAACTAATAACATTAAAAAGATTAAATTTTACCAAAAAATTGCTATTACACCTCAACGGAGGGATTGAATTATGCCGAATTAAAGTGGAGAGATTAAATTGCAAATTTTAGCATATGCGAGGAACTAAAACCATAACTAGACCACTATGGATTCAAATTTTGTTCTTGAATTGCATGAAAAACAGAGCTATGACCTTCATTGGGATATGCTTCATCAAGCTTTGAATTGAAACAATTGGAAGGTGGTATTGGCTAGTGAGGCACCAAGCAGGGCTGATAAACGGGGCACAGGAGGAATCGCTGCCATGGAAGACGAGGATGCTACTGTCAAGAATGAGAATGACATAAAGAAATCTAAAAGAAAAGGTGGGTTCGGGATTACCCTCCCAACAATGTATTCTCCCAACACACTAACCATTTCGACCAAACCCGACATAACTGAAGATTAAATCTGTCCACATCGACTTTTGTTCACCCCTAATCACCAAACTCTACTCATGAAAATGGCTGGGCAACACTTTCATTAATAAAAGTATCTTCATTAAAACCATATAAGAATAATTGGAAATCAAAGATGGTTTCGGACATTCAATTTATAGAAAGTAAAGATCCAAGTTCAGACAGTTAAAGAACTGTAATTGTCAAGCGCAGAACATTGGCTCAAGTAGTCAACATACAGAATTTACACCTTTTTCTTTTAGCTATATACATAATATGTTTGCATTGCATTATGCTAAAAGCAAAGGGGAACCAAATGTGTTTTCTCCACTGTAAGTCATAAAGAAAGCCATCTTCGTCCTTGTTTTCCTCGTAAATTGCAGACATCAACGCAGCTGCAACGAAAATAAAGAACTAGATAAGCCTCACAAATAGAACAGAAATAGGTGATATAAGTTGTGATACTCGAAGCTATACCATTTTAACGCAGCAGTAGGCGGGAGAGTGTTCTTCACAAAGACAAATATAGCTTTCTCAGCACTAAGCTTAATCCGTTTACGGACAACGTAAACAAATTGCCACACAGTCAAATCAGGAGGAACGAGATACCTGAAGCCGTATTCAGAAAAGAATATTAAGAAAAAGAACATTGAACGGTGTATGAGTAAGCTTATCTTGTTCAGTTTTTAAGAATCCATTAACATTGACAACCCACGCAAACATTTGGCATGAGACATCATTCACTAGAAAGTGCATTTGGTAAATTGCATATTAAATAACAAGAATATCGATCGATCGATGCATCTAATGCAAATAGCCTACAAACAAAGAAAATGTAATTGAACATTGAATAAATTAGCATCGAAGAATATTAAGAGACTAGTACACCATAAAAAGGTTTTCAACAGAAAAGGGAAGATGGTGACTTAAATATTCTTACAGGAATTCTGTCCGTATACTTTTCCCTGGTGCGACCGGCTTCAGCCTGCCTCCTTTCTGAGAAATAGAAATTTTCAAAATAGGACTATGAGTATTGACAAAATTTTATTCGATTAATCGACTAAAAGAATAGGAGCAGTAGGGGCAACAACAAATCACAAGCGTACTGAGGATTGGAATAAGATCAGGATAACCTAAACAAGCTAATTTATAGGATTATCGATATATAAAAACAATGAACATCTCAAGAACTCGTACAATCGATTAATCGACTAAAGAATAGGAGCAGTAGGGGCAACAACAAATCACAAGCGTACTGAGGATTGGAATAAGATCAGGATAACCTAAACAAGCTAATTTATAGGATTATCGATATATAAAAACAATGAACATCTCAAGAACTCGTACAATAAAGATTCATTCAGTTCGAAACCAATACAATCAAATTACCCCAAATTGATCCAATGTTACAAGAAAGAATACCAAATTTCTAAAATTTCCACACGATATTCCAGATCAAAGTAGCCTGTTAAGAATAAGAATCACTAATAATTGAAAAAAAAAAGGATCAAATTTTCAAATAAAAAAAGATAAAACAAAGCATGCCCAAATCAAATCTAACAGCAATTCAGTCAAGCAGAAATAAAATTACAAAAAAAATTGGAGGTCGACGAACTAACAAAGGATGTTCAAGCTTGATGGAACTTTTCGCCATTGAAAAATTCAAAACCTGGTTATATGACCTGCGAATTCCAAACAACGAATCATAACTTTCAGAAAACAAATAAAAAAGTAAAAATAAAAGAAGTGACATACCCAACAAGAAATGACAAGGGAAAAGCTTTAAGAAATTAGGGTTTCAATCCAAAAAAAGAACCCAAGTGATTGATGATCGTTGGAGAGAATTGCAAGCAAAGAAATTTATAAGAAAATATAGAATTTATATAAGAAATCCTTTCAAGGATTTATTCACAAGTACATTTCCCCTATTTGTTTGCTCTTTCCCTGCTTACAAGGAATCTAATTCCGGCCTGCTTAGAACAAAGAAATCAAGTAATTTTAAGAAACGAAGCCTGTTTACAAATTTTAATTGAAGTTAGGGCTCCAATGGCCTGCCATGAACAACGATAAATGGGTTTAGATCAATTTTGAATTTTATTTTTTATTTCTGTCGAGTGATTATGGGTTTAGATTTATTTCTAGTTTAATTCGATTCATTTCGAATTTTAATCTTTTTCAAAGTTTGGGTTGTGAATCTTTACATATCTCTCTTTTATATGCCTATGTACATGTAGAGCATGCATTTAGTACTCATGGTCCATTCGGTTTACTACATTTAAGACCCCAAGTAATATGTCAATCTCATTTACCATTCTCTGTCACACTGTCCCCGGTAACTAGTCTTTAAATATTGGGGGGGGGGGGGGAAACATGGGCTAATGCCGCCTGGCGCCATCATCATCATCAACAGTAGGTGATGTTGAAGAAGGGCGTTGTGAGGATGATGATCACGAAACATGCTCGAGCTCCAAGAACAAGTGTTCAACCGTAACAAAGGAGCAAAGGTCGAGGTTTTACATATTGTCATTGAGGATGTACGTTTTTATGTTCCTATGTTGGCAGAAGTACGGCAATTGAGTATTCTTTTGTGTGTAATAACTTCATACATAAATTTATAGTAATGTTCAAGTATCAATAATGGAAAAGTACACACTACTAAGCTGTATAGCCTGCTACTTTAGTTCAATGGTATATCATTTGTGAGATAACTCTTAATTTATATTGTATTAAGGACCTAGGGTTTATCTGGTGATAATGATGATGATGGAGAGGTAAGCTCTTTCTGCTGTAGTTTCTTTGTGATTCTGCAAACATTATGTTTGTTGTCGGACCCTTAAATGAGAAGACATTACTTGGAAAACATGAACTCTTTACCATTCGAATGAACCAATAAACGTCCATAAACGTTTGATATATACATCTTAGATATGATAGAAAACTGATGAGCATATTTTCAAGAATCAAAGTATATACGGTCTTTTCTTCTTGGCCACTTGGGGTTAAGGGCTTTGTTTTAATATTTATTATTTGTTTCTTTGTTCACCGGCACTGCTTTTATTAAGGGAACATGCTTCAAGCATACATTCACCATTGTGGAACACGGGGTCTGTCAGTAACATGATCATAGCGTTCTTGGAGACAATGTAATGAACTTTTAGGGCCCCTTGGCTCTATCTTCATTTACTTTGTCTTACCCCATGGTTCTTCCTCACGTTTTTTGTCGATTAAAATGTTCGAGTTAGAAGATCATGTAAGACAATCAAATTTGAAAATGACTTATGATCCTTGATCGGAAAGCATGCAGTACGACGATCAACTAAAGCATCGGAATGATCACGACAAACAAAACAAATACCGAATATCAATGTTACAAGGATTTAAACTTATGATATTATTTAAGAGACTTAGTGTCTCGTTACATTAATCCAATTCCAAAGCTTTTTTTCCTTCGATATTCGAATAATGCTGGTGGTGGCACCACACCATTGCCATGCCCTCTTCGATCTCATCATAAATACAGAATTGAAAGCTCAAGGGTTCTTTCCAATGAGCTTTTCCCATTGTCTCTAAAAAAAAAACTTTTGTAATTAATATACCCAACCTCCATTTTGTTCTTGGGTTGGTGTCCAATTCAATGCTTACCACGCCATTTTCATGGCCACTTCCATCTTACTCTCTCATTCATTTAATACATGAGAATCTCCAATCGAGATATTGGTGCAGTTCAATCAGAGAGCTTCGCTCTAAATATTAGAGTTTTGTTATTTGATTGAGCCGTGCCAATATCACACACTTGCTCATCCTTCTAACTTTGCTTTCAATTGGTATGGAAGGTTTTCAAGGTACGTCCCTTTATAGCAGTTATCTGCAATAAAATGTTGGACCCTTTCTTCCACATATAAAAATGACCTAATCCTCTCTTTCGATCATATTTTGAGTTTTCTTCATTCGAATCATACAACTCAGAAGACATGTTCATGTTGATGTACATAAATATATATACATATATGGAACTGGTATTCTATGATTACTTGGCATATATATATGAAGATTGCATCATGTAGCTTGACTATGACATATATGATTCAGAGCTCTTGATTACAATCGAAGTTGAGTCCGTTTGAATCTTTAAACCGATGATAAAACTCTTTTAAAACTGTATTTTTCTATTCACAAAATTCGAATTCAAATTCATTATCTTCCTTAAACAATCTCCAATGCCCCCATTCGTGTGATATATACACGAATCAATGACGGTCGAAAAAAGGGGGTTGGTCTCAAGAATGATACAACTTAGCTTTATTTTGAAGGTAGGGACATTGCTTCATCCTTCTTACCGAGCAGAGTCTGAAAGATAATTATCACGGAACGGGACAATGTACAAGCTAACAAAATGGGCAGTTTAACTGTTGTATCTTTTCCGATTAACCGGCATCTTTTCTACTAGTGTTTCTTAGCCGCATGGTAAAGCTCGATATAATCTAGTGCAGGCCGGTTCCACGACCAGTCTTGCTCCATCACCCTTGTGCACAATGAGTTGAACCAATCCTGACCATCGTAGCAAGCCGTGATTGCCCTAGAAAATCGATGAACAATAGATTCAACTCAAATTCATAGCAGTATTTGCAGATTAAAACATATTGTAGAACAAGAACAGGGAAATGGAAACACGGAAACTAGCTGGTAATGACCGAACAAACCGGTTTTTACTAACTTGGGTGCCAAGAAATAAACTCACCTATTGAGGGCATAGTCGACTCCACCACAATCAGCTCCGTCAAAATTGAATCCATTGGGTTCAAGACTGTGTGCTTCTGCTCTAGCTTTATCGTTATTGACATCGAATACAGTGTTGTATAGCCCTTACAGAAAAAAGTAAATCAAAACACGTCAGTACACGTTTGAGAGATTCTAAGAACATAAGCTCAACAAATTCAATGAAACTCATGCGAATTGTAAAAAATAAGAGAAACCGAAAAGTCATTCATAATGCCTGTATACATCTAAGTATAGCAAGAAGAGACCATTCGTGTATCGACATGACTCGATAATCAAGATGGAAGAATAAAGATATACCTCCTGTTTTACGAACAACCGGTATGGAACCATATCTCATTGCCGTCAGTTGAGTCAGTCCACAAGGCTCGAAAATTGACGGGACAAGTATGAAATCAGCACCAGAATATATCTGTAAAAAAGAATAACATGAACAATCAAAATAAAAGTAAGCTCATCGAGGGAGTAATAAGTACATAAAAACGAACTTTAAGAGTGCACACCAAGTGAAAAAGTGGCTCATCATAAGTCAATCGAAGGCGAGCACGATCCCCGTGAGATGAATGTAGCTTGTTGGCCAAATTTACAAAATCATTTTGAATGTTAGAATCCGGAGCCAAACCAAGCAGTACAACCTGTTGCAGAAACAAAAATTCCAACATTTGCTTATGAAGATGCACCAAGTAGAAGAAATACACAACCAAGGAGATTCCCACAAGTTGTTTATAAAAGCATTTCAAACATATCAAATGTTCTGTTAATAGCGGAAGGAAAAAGAATCGGTCGAACTAAAAGTTCTGCATCATTGTATGATTGCAAGAGTCCGTGGTGCATGTCAATCACGTTAATGTCGCTACAGAGGAAGTCGGGACTCTTTATAAAACTCATAGTGTATGATTCTATATGAGCTCATACGGGGGAAGGGAGGGGTAACCTGTCCGTTGCGTTCTATGGCGCTCGATATCGCATGCTTTATAAGATGGATTCCTTTCTGGTGAGTTAAACGAGTAATAATTCCAACCAAAGGAAGATCAGATTTTTTTCAAACCAA